GAAATAGGGTGAATACATCTCATCACACTGATTTACTGGTAGTCTCGAAACCCTACTCACTTACGAATATTACTCATTCTTACTGGAAGTAGTCTGTAGGGCTAGCCCGACAGTGTCAACTCACCTCGCACAGGTCGAATTTGACCCTCACCAGATCCTTGTCAACTCGAGCCAAGATGGAGGCCCGATTACGCTCGTTGCTGTAGACAGCCTTTCGAGACGTTTCGTCGATTTCCTCGTGCAAGGGTCGGGCAATATCCACGGTGACATGGTTGGTCTGTAAGAGGAAGAGGAGACCGGCCCTCTGCACGTAGACCTTAGTCTCCATGCTCTCCTCCATCTCTGAGCGCATCTCACTGAAGCCGTTTTTGTCGGCATTCAAGAAGACCAGCACCTCGTTGCTCGAGGGATCGTCGATGATGCGGTACTCTTTGCGTCGAAGCACGTAGTCGACCTCTTTCACATCGCGTCGCTCCACAAAGTAGTGCTGCGAGTCTGTTTGCACGGCTTTCTGCGTCTCGTTGTATGACTTTCGTTTGTGATAGTAGATAACAGAGAACTCGGGATTGGTGGCGCGAAAGGTGAGCTGATAGCGAGTCCCTTTGACCGTCTTGAGGAAGACGACACTCTTGGGCACCTCGACTTCGGGTTGTTCACTGTGCGAACTGTTCTCGTCTCGGGCCAGCCTCGAAATGTAAAGCAACGACTGGAGGCGTCGGCGCAGCGAAAGAGGCCGTGGCGAACCGCCCGACCGCTGGCCGAAGCTGTGGGCTGAGATGGGCCCGTTCATTGGCGCATGGCGAGGAGACAATTCGGCTCGGCCCGATGAACCACGTCAACGCGTCAACCGCTCTACCGCCTCCGAAACAACCACCGCTGGGATGGAGTTTCGTCGCGCCTTTCTCATTCGTCCGATTCGAACTCACTCGCCGATCGAATCACCCTCTGCACTCGCCGATTGGCGCGAGCAGCGACGTCGACGTCGACAGTGACGTCGAGGCCGGCGGCCGATTTGCCTCGGAAGCGAACTTACTCGGCCGCGAATCGCTACGCCAAAACGTGTGGGACTATGCTGGTGT